GATGTCTTATATTACCAAACATTACAGGCAATAAGTAAGTTCTCTAATCCTTTTCAGTAATTTTCAAAAAATGTGATTCAACACATGTGAGGTTTAGTTAAGAAACTAAACGCATACGACCACAAATGACAACCCATATTTACTGAATTATCGAATAGTTACACATTAGATACTAATGTGTATATAAACATTACATTTACAATTTTAAACTAATAATAAATTCGAATTATTTATTAGTATATACTATTTGTAAATCAAAAAATATACATACTATTTAATCGCATACAACCTTTATGTACAAACTATTTAATCGCATATTAATTATAATGTAATAATTTTGTTAATTGCATTATGTTAGCATCTTATTTGCTTTAAAATCACAACTTCTCAATTAACCATATGCTTAAAAAGAATGTTAACTATTTATTTTACCATAATATATATAACCATATTAAACTACATAATTATTCCACTGCGCAACGCGCGGGCATTCGCCTAGTATATATATATACTAGTAGAATACTCGCGCGATGCGGCGGCGCGGGATAGATTTTTTCGGTAAGTAGTACTTTTTCGGTAGTCTGTTTCAGGTTAAAAATTCGGCATTCGGTGATCATTTTCTTTTCAATGGTCAATGAATAGTTTATTTTACTGGTCAGCAGATAATTTCTATTCGACAATTAATTTTCTTTGTATACATGTTACAAAAAAACCTTTGATTGTGATCATTTTTGTTATTAACGTGAACAACTAAATACAATTAGTTTAAGTGAGTATAATGACCGAAAAATTAACCGAAACTGATTTAAGTTAACCATTCTTAAATAGGTGGTGTGGTTTCTAATTTTGAATCGCTTTTAGATTGTTTCGAAAAACTATTAGTTTTTCGACAAATTATTTTGGGTTAAACCTAAAACATTGTTAATGGTTTTTTTTTTTTTTTGTATATGATAGTTTTTGTTCTTGATGCCTGTAATAGCAAGTTTTAAGCGACGAAACCGATAAACTGTATGAAAGCTAAAGACTTTCATGTCAAATTTGGAGAACATTATTCGGGTAAAAGCATAAAAGATTTGTAATCTTAAGAATCTTTTTAGTAAATTTGTAAACTTAAGGGAAAAAATTGACAGAATATAGACATTAACGAACCTAAAATCATGGTAGGAACAAAATCATAATGTTTTCACAAATTTAAAGACTTTCAAAAACATTTCTCCATGTATTTATTGCCATAGCATATTTTCGTCCGTTGGAATTATTTTTTGTTCTCAATTGTTGGATATGTTTCATAGTAACTGTTAATATGTTTGTATTATTTTTATATGACAATTATAATTTATTACAACATTTTATTTCAAGGAAAAATTATTAAAACGTTTTATGTAATCTAAGAAAATATTGTTTAGCTCCAAACAAAATAAAACATTGACAAATTTTATGTGTTCACATTAATAAAAGTAAAACAATGCTAATTATAATAATAATAATAATAATAATCACTGACATAAAAATCAGTAACATTGATCCGATATCGCCCACAAAGCTAAGAGGCCACTGGCACCGAATAATACCCATAAAGAACGCTATGGCTTTGTGCTGCGGCAAAGATTTCTCTGTATCAGGTACGCATCGCAAGAGCATATGAAACAAAAAAAAGTAAAATGTCTTCTTTTTCCGCCCTCATCTGACTAACCTTTCTTTGTTCTGCATGAGAAAAAGTTATCAAAATGTACTTTCAAAAAATGTATTATTATTTTATAATGGTTTTATATCCTACAACATATAATAAAATGATTAAAACCTCTTATAAATACTTAAACACTAATAGTATAATACAATTTTAAAAATTACCTTGGCAATACATAATTCAACTTGTTTTATTTAGGTTATTTCAAAATTTTAAATTTCTTTTAAGTTACCAGTTTTACATATGAAAACATATTTTTAACTAAAAAAGCATTTAATGGTCATGTAAGATTTTATTCTATTACTGTAGCTTTATATCTTGGAAAGTAACAAATAACCATGTTTTTTCTAACTTTCTCTATATCTTGGAAAGTAACAAATAACCATGTTTTTTCTAACTTTCTCTGACACTATAATTTTACCACTTGATTGAGTCCACGTTTTCAATCAGACCACTTTCTATGAACCAATGAATCAAATAAAAGTTACTTCTTTCAAAAGGGATAAACCGAACGGTAAAAAGAGATATGGTATAGCATAAATAAAGAACGACAATTGCCTCGTTATCAAATTTTACATTTGTATCTTTCTAAATCAGGAAAATCTTCATCTATGTTATGAATACTCTAAAAATAAATATATGAATTACAATAATATTATACCAACCCCAGGTCAAGCTTTATGATACAGAAAAGCTTTGTAACATTCAAAATCTCTAAATCATGTCAAGTCATTTTCTCTAACGTCCTTTAACTCCTTTCTTTTAAACCTCGATCAACTTCTCATTTTCTGTTATTTTTTATTTTTTGTTTTAAACCTGCAAATGACAAAGCTGTTTCTAACAGCTATCAAAAGATCATAATTTAGATCCAAACTTTATTGGATCATGTTTACAATTTGTCAATCAATTTTTAGTGATAAAGTTCAAGATACTACCATTTCTCTTGAATCTATAGTTCTTTCATCAAGTTCACTGTAAAACAAAATCATAGTTTTCTTTAAATGCATACCAAGATCAGTAAAAGCTTCCAAGATTGATTAATTTAGAGTTACTTGAACAAGTCAAAGGCCAATCAAAGTTCACAACCACAGTTTCTAGCAAAAGCATTGTTTAAATTCCATTCACATTCATTCATGGTACAGTCAAGATCAGTAGATTCAAAGTTAAAAGCTACCTGTCATTGATTTTTGGTATTTTACTTGGAGCCCTAATTCTACCACCTAGTAAAAAGCCTAACACAAATTTCACACAAAAAATGAGAAGATAAACAAAAAATATAGAATAAAAGCTGTAAATTAAAAGATTAAACCAGATAATTCCACAAAAATAAAACCAGGTGTTCAAAATTAAAAAACCTGTTTACAAAAGCTTATAATCACATTAGTTTCAGGAGAAGCGGGTGAAAGGGAAAAAGCAAATGGACGTACTTCTTGAAATACTATCTTTATGGATTTTATAACTGAATATGTAGATCTTGGAGAACCACAACCATTGACAAAAATACGTACAAAACTCAAAAAAACAATGTTGGATGTGAAAATAAGGAAAGAGAATAAGAGACGGAACAAAAAGAGAAAATTGATGGAAATTTTTACCTCCGGAAATGAGGAAAATGAAGATGATGAGTTTGGCGTAGTTCGTATGGTAGGGGAGACATAATTTACACAACTGAAGAGTGAAGAGCACTGGGGATCGAAGCTTAGCATAGTGTTTCAAACACGACTCCTAAAGATCTTCTTTTGACCCAACTAATCTCTAGGTAATTGATGAGAAACTACAAACCAAAAAAATCAGTAAATTGAGCAATCGCTAGGTCATTAATAAGAAACAACTAACAAAGAAAAACACTTGAAGATGAACAAACTCTGGGCGGATCAAGGTGGTTGCTTGTTTGACCTGCACTCAGTTTAGATCTCGCAACGATAGTGTGAGATCGCTAGTGAGAAAGAGACTGCCATCCTTTTTTGTTAGGGTTTTGAGAGAGTTAGAGGGGGTACGGAGGAGAACGACTGATGCGATGGGGAGCGTCTGATTCAATTTTGAAATGGCTTTAGGGTGTGTCTGTTTGCGAAAATGTATTCGTTTGTTGTTATCAGAAGATATTTGATTGAAGAAGTAATCAACAAACCATTTACATTCACCAGTGATCCGTGTGAGTAATAAACAGCCCATATACATTCATGAGCGATCCGCATACTTTCCCTTTTGCTTTAACACATCATGTATTAAAATATATTATTTTGTGCTAGTGTATCTCTTAATATGCAATGTACATCAAGTTCAAATAGTTGTATTTAAGACATTTATTATGTATGCTTTATAAGATAGTAAGATAATATATATATATATATATATATATATATATATATATATATATATTATTGCAATAGAATATGTATATCTATTACATTTATTAATAGATTTCTCTTGAATGTTTTTTACCTTGTATCTTTTCCTTGTTTAAATCTGTTTTTTTTAATATTTGTGTTTTAGGTTATTATAAAATCCAATTTTCTTTAATACATAAAATCGTTAAATTTATGTTCATCTTATTTTACTAATGAACCACTTTAAATTGACAAAGAGAGTATTAATGAGCTCGTGTGTCATTGTTTTCTTTTTTTATCTCCACGACACTAAATATATGTGGTGTCCAATGCATAAAAAAACATTTTTTCCATTAAAATTAAGTCATCATTTGCATACAATATGACATACACAGTTTTCTATGTGGATCTACTAAATGTTTTACACTCTATGGAAACTATTGTGCATGAATTTATGTAAGGTTGTTGAGCTCAAAATGACACCATATGTTTGAATAATTTCCTGAGTCTCAACTTTTAAAACCCTATTTATAAGGCCAATTTTGTCATGTTCGTGTATTGTCAAACATTTATTGTGTAATGTATACATTACGCATATCATACGTGTTGTTCACTGAACATACGTAATAAATGAAAAGTTTTTAATCTAAAATTTGAAGTTTTTTTTATTTTTATGTAATTTTATATATTTATAAACTAATAGCTATTTTTATAGGATATTTTTATACAAATAAAAGTTACAAGTTACCAACTAATTTTGTTTAGAATAACCGCTTTATAATAAAAGTTAATAAAATAGGTATTTAGGTGTATCTCACTTCAAAATAAATAAAAGAAATTGGTTATTTTTTTTATACCCAAAATGTACTATATTCAAGGGAAGGAAAGAAATAGGTTGCATTGAATGCCCGGGGTGGCTAGTGGCCTGAAGCAAATCACATTTTAAAACCATAATTTCGCCATTAATTAAGCAAACCTTCGCAGATGAAGGTTTCATGTCCGAACCGTTTGTTTGACTCCTTCCTTTACGTTTCACAATCGCATTTGCTATCAGATCGATGTTATTTCACTCTCTTTATTTGATGATCGATGATGAAAAAAAGATTGAGATTCAATTAAGGTCTGATCATACATACACAAAATGGCTACCGCTAGTACCGGTAGCAAACAGGCTAAGGAAGTGATCCGATTGGAGCGTGAAGCTGTAATTCCAGTTTTGAAGCCTAAGCTCATCATGACTTTGGCCAACCTCATTGGTAATTATATATTTTTCTTCAATATATATAATATATTTTCGCTCATTGTTTTCAATATATATTCGATTTATTTTTCAACGAACGGAACCTCTTATCTTATTCTAGTTGTAATCCTTGCAAAAATTAGGATCTGTTGCAATGTCGATGTATCCGCACATTTGTTTTGTTTTGTTTTTTTGGCTCACATACTCGCTTCCTGTTATAAATTTTGGATTATGATCACTTACGTTTATCTGAAATTTCTTCTCCTGTAGGAAATTTAGACAACCAAAGAATGGCAACGTGTAAATTGACTTTCACATTCATGTGTTGGTTTTTATGTGTAACCAGTTCATTCCATGAAAAATATATATTAAAGATATATTGATTGATTTTCGATATAAAACATGCTACTTTACAAATGAAAATTAAGTAACTGGGTTCTGTAGTAGATACAAATCATATTCTTTCGGTTTGTAGTATGTGTTGTAAAGTTTAATTAGAAGTTAATGATTTAGATGAAGTTTGATGAAATTATCAAATTTGACATAAAAGGTCAAAGTGTATTTATTAATTATTACCTGAATGGAGTGTCTGTTGAAATTCTTGATGCATTGCAGAACAGAGTTCTGACCGATCAGAATTCTTGAAGCTCTGCAAGAGAGTTGAGTACACGATTCGAGCATGGTATCTTCTTCAGTTTGAAGATCTTATGGTATTATCTTGATTCATTAACTTATTCCATCGTCTACATCTTGTTTTCCAATAATTCTTTCTAGCAGATTAATTGTATTTGATTTCCTTTGTTCTCTTGCAGCAACTATATGCACTCTTTGATCCAGACTATGGAGATCAGAAACTGCAGCAACAACATTTGTCCTCGGATGAGGTTGATGTTCTTGAACAAAACTTCCTGAACTACATGTTTAAGGTAGCACGTGCTTAACCATCTGTATTCATTTCATCATCATGTAGCATGGCGCATGCATCAATCTACCATGAACTATTATTTAAATTGGTTTTCCATGTTGGCTATATTTGAATTTGTTCCCTCTTTATGTTTTACACTTTGAAATACAAATTCATATGAATGTAGGTAATGGAAAAGAGTAATTTTAAGATTGCTACCGAGGAGGAGATTGCGGTTGCACAATCAGGGCAATATCGTCTAAATCTTCCCATCTCAGTGGATGAATCAAAGGTTATATATGCACTTGAATATGGTTATATAAATTAGGTGATATTATCATTCTGCTCCATTATATAAACATTTCTTCTTCTTTCTTAATATCCCCCTTTCTTACTGTAGCTTGATAAGAACCTGTTAAAGAGGTACTTTTCCGAGCATCCTAGAGAAAACCTTCCTGACTTTGCAGATAAGGTGTTTCTATTATATTTTCGATTGACACACATGTGGAAATTTAGTCATTTTGTTAATATAATAAAAATATTTTATTGTAGTATATAATTTTTCGACGTGGTATTGGAATTGATCGGACAACTGATTACTTTATAATGGAGAAGGTGGACATGCTCATTTCCCGTATATGGGGATGGATCATGAGAGTGACTAGGCAAGTTTTCTTTCAATCCTCACTTACTCATTAATTTAATCTCTAAAGTGTATAGGGAAGCAGCATCTTGTTCCATAATTTTGTAATTGTTTATACTAAATTATAAAGAGAAATTGTGCATTGTGCATTGTGCTTGCAGGCTAGAGAAGTTATTTCCTAAAAAAACAAGGGCAATAATTAGGAAAGTTATGAAGAAAGAGGATGAAACCAAAGATATAAAGAAAGAAGGTGAAAATAGTGATGAAGAATTTCAGGATGACTTGTATGTTGAGCGGATCCGTATTGAAAATTTGGATTTCAGGTTGTAAAATAAAAGTGATCTTTACATTAATAGCTGATAACAATATCTAACTGACACTAGAATGTACTTATTCAACCAGTTTACAGAATTTGGCAAGTAAGATTACAATCCAAGAACCTACATTTGACAGGATAATTGTGGTTTACAGGTATGATTCATATTTTTGTCAAGATTTCATACTTTGTTTTTTTTGTGGATGTAGAAAGATGTTGTTCATATGCAGGCTAGCAGGCAGTAAGGCAAAAAAGGAAAGAGGGATATATGTGAAACATTTAAAACAGATCCCAATGGCAGATATGGAAATAGTATTGGTGAGTTGGTTTTTCTTCATCCATGACTTTTTTTTTTGGAATTTAAGTTTGATTAATGAGATTCTTGTAATGTATTGTACAGCCTGAGAAGAAAAATCCAAGTCTAACACCTATGGACTGGGTCAAATTCCTTACCACTGCTGTACTTGGTCTGGTTAGTTGTTAATATTACCATGAAATTCAATTCCCTAAATTTCCTCTATATTAAAAATATTCAAATACCCTCTTCAAATTCCAATAGTTATTTCTAGAACATTCTGCAAACAAAACGCCCCCATTGGTTCCGTGGTGTTTATTTGAAGTGTTTTTTTTTTCAGGGAGCTGCCACTGGTTCAATCCAGACACCCGAAGCTGACTTTTGGGTCATTGTTGCTGTTGTGTCTTCAGTGATTGGATACTGTGCCAAAATATACTTTACGTGAGTCTTCTTTCTCTGATGAAATTCAAGTGGATAAGATTAACTTATATGTCTGTCTTCTTGTGACGGTGTTCTTGAAGTTGGTAATAAAAAGTAAAACCATCATATTGGTTCAATTGATTTGTTGATTTTACATTTTGTTGGATGTATGTGGTTTTAGTTTACCAATATTATACAATTGAAATGTAGGTTTCAGGCAAATATGGAAATGTATCAGAACTTAATTACACAATTCATGTATGACAAACAACTGGATAGTGGAAAAGGAACTCTTCTTCATTTGTGTGATGATGTGATTCAACAAGAAGTAAGTTTGGTATCTTACTTATTAAGACATTGTACTTTAAATTTTTATCCAAGTTATAACATGGTATTTATGGTCATTTTTTATTAAGACTTTATGATTTGAAAAATCTACCCTATTATAGTATTAAAGATTGTTTTGTATTTGGATGACACTGCTATAATTAAGCAGTTTTTTCAAAGTAGAATGTTGTAATAGGAAGAAGTGAAAGTAAGATGCTATAACAAACAAATTACGGAAGTATGTTGCTATTTCTTGCATTTGATCCTTTGTTTTCTTTTTTCATGATCTTTGGTATTCTACGGTAGTGATAAAAAAAAGTCCTTAAATGGCCTAACACCATGTCCTAATTGGTAACTAACAAAATCAAATAACCATTTCAGGTAAAAGAGGTGATCATTTCTTTTTTTATATTGATGGAACAGGGCAAAGCAACTTTAAAGGTATTAATTACTATTGCTCCTTGTGATTAATATGAAGCCAATGAACAAATTTGCACAATTTTATAGTAAAATGGTCATTTGTCATGTTACCTTACAGGAACTTGACAAAAAATGTGAGGAACTAATAAATGACGAGTTTGGTGAGAGATGCAACTTTGATGTGGATGATGCTGTCCAAAAATTAGAAAAGCTGGGTATTATTGCTAAGGTGAGTTTGCACCTCTGTTTTTCTCTTTCTTAGATCACTTCATTAGAATATCTTCCCATTCTTGAAATATCTCCTATTTTCATTCATTTGGATTTACGATATTGATAGCATTATTTTGCTTGAATGGTAGGGATATATGACTAAACATAATTAAGTAATCCTTAAAAAACTACTCCCCCTGCACCATTCACCAGTGATAAGAAAAAAATCTAAATGCATGCAATAATAGTCCAATAAAGACATTCCTATAATTATCTCTATAAGTGCTATCTCCCACACATTGGTGTCCTATAATGTATATAATCTCTTTATACTCCCTTGACTCTAGCTTTGAAAATGCAAATACATGCCAAATTTCAAAGTGAGGATAAATTTTGGTATCAACATTTGATGAATAAAGGTAAGCGATGCAATATGTAAATAATTGATGCAACCATGTTATGACAATGACTCATACAAATGAACATGTAACATCTCAACCCAAAGTGACCTCATAATTAGGGGTGTTCATCGGTTCGCATCCAATGTTTTTGGATAGAACCGATCAAATGGTATCATCCATTTCATGTCAAATTTTTCCAACAGATATAATTCAGGTGATTGTAATCGACCATATCCAACCAACCCAATTAAACACTTTTTATTGATTGGATTTTACAATTATTTATCCAATTTATCATATTGGATCTACCCACTGTCTATCCTATTTTTATGCAATTACAAACAACTAAAATACAATAGATCATTTAAATAGAAACCGTACACTTTAAAGTTCAACCACAATACCATAACAGTTCCAAAATAAAACATACACTTCAAAATTCAATCAAAATACCAACTGCCAAGTCACGAATCTTCAATATGCCCAAAGATGGTAACAGTTGTACAAAATTAAAGAGAAGCAATATTAGTATGTTACAATTCATAATGGAACATTCAAAAACATAAGTTTAAAAGTGAAATATGAAAGCTTTTTGTCACTTACCGGCTTCTAATGCTTCCACTTCTTCATTTTTTCCATAACCACCAAATGATGTTTTTTGATGAATCCAAGTGTGAGTATATTTGAGTGGACGATGTATATGCTTAGGAGATAAACAAGTCCTATATGAATCAATGAAACGTCCACCAGTAGAAAATGCAAACTCCAATGCAACAGACAATATAAGTATATTAAACATATATTGTGATATCATGAATGAATCCTAAACCTTTTAGTATTATTTTTCAACAAATTGAGTAATCTAACCCTTATAAATGACCAATTTTTTTTTATTTTTTTTTTTTGAAAAATAACCACATTCTCCGGAACACCTTGTTCCAGAGAGCTCTTCGGAATTCCGGAGTACGGTTCCGGAATACAGTTTCCTAGGGTTTATTATTATTATTATTATTATTATTATTATTATTATTATTATTTTATTTTTTTTAATTTTTTAACGTGTAACATGTGGTTTTTCTTTTAAGGTGGTTTTTCTTTTAACGTAAGTTTTGCTTTTATAAAAGAGTAAATAACTGAAATCGTCACTGTGGTTTGGTCAAAATTACGAGTTTGGTCCCTAACGTTTTTTTTGCACTCGGACCATCCCTCTAGTTTGTTTTTGTTTCGGTTATGGTCCCTGACAAACATGAAAAGACAAGTTTACCCTTACTATATTTTTTCCCACATTTTAAATAACCAGTAAATACTTATTTATAATTAAAAAAATTAAAAAATCATTGGGTCCCACCACCCTTTCCTAACTCCTACCCCCACTCATCTTTTTCCTTTTCCTTATATTCTTCCCCAGGCCTCCATTGTCGGCGACCACCAATTCACAGACCACCGTAGTCGGAAATCAGTGGAGCACCCCGACCTTTCTACTTTGTCCCTTCTTGTTCTATGTAGTTGCTCACCACCATGTCTTTACTGAAATCCTGAGCACTAAAATCTCCTTTATCAACTCCAGCAAAAAATCTAGAGAAATCAAACCTAATGCAATCCAAAAAAAATCAACCTGATCAAAACTTGATGCAACCATCTAGACAAATCAAATGCATAAAAATCCTCGATCTTACCTGAAACTAAACCCACTAAACCTGACCGCCACCGCCACCTCTAAAATCGAACCACCACCGGTAACAAAGAAAAAAGACGGTGAGAAAGAGAGAGAGATAACAGAGAGCAACGACGTGAAAGAGAGATAATTTCAGAAAACATTCTGGTGGCGGCGGTGATTTCAATACGACGATAGTGCGGATCCGGTGACGATACCATTTGGCGCCGATCCAGTATTTCTAGTTGCGATCCAGCACTTCCGACGGCCTTCTGTTGGAGGCTGGTTGAGCTCCAGTCAGCTATGGTTTTCACGTGCTCAAGTGAGATTAGATAGAAATAGAGGTTTATAAGAGTTGAAGAAGTGAGGTGGGGGTACGACCCATTTTCTAATTTCTAGATGAAAGGATGGGGGTGTGAGGTAAAGGTGGAGCAGAACCGGAGAAGATGAAGGGATTGGGAGGTTTCCGGCGGCGATGGAGTAAAACCGATGGAGAAACAACCAAGTCGTCGGTTGTGGTGGGAGGTAAGTGGGGTCGTGAACTTTTGTGATGTAGTGATTTAGGGTAGAAGAGGAGGAGAGGGATAAGGGTGGGCCACACTTTTTTTCATTTTTCTTTCTGATTTATAAATAATAATAAGAATAATAAAACAATTTAAAAAGAAATTCATAAGGGTATTATTGTTAATTCTTGTCTAATAGGGACTAAAATCGCAATAAAATCAAATTATAAGGACGGTCCGAGTGCAAAATAAAAGTTAGGGACGAAACACGTAATTTTAACCAAACCACAGGGAGTATTTCAGTAATTTACTCTTTATAAAATGTTTAAGTTTTGCTTTTATAAAATGTTCAAGTCTTGCTTTTATAAAATGTATACATTTTTGTTTTATCAAATATAAAATGCAATTAAAATCAACAAACAACTAATAAATACATAAACTAAATAAAGGATGTGTATGTAGCTGGTATTACAAATACGATATTTAAATTATCTGTGTCCTTGTACCACCAAAAAATTTCTGCTAGTCGTTTTCGATAACCCAAAGCCCATGGACCGGTTTTACCCTCTACAGAAAATCGATTTCCCGGTCATCAACGCCTCCAAGAACCAACACAAAAACATCCTACAATTCCCTTTGTTGTCAATCTGTTGTGGTGTGTTTGTGACCTTTTCCAAGGTCATCTTGAAGCTCTCAAGTGGGATTGAATCAATTGGTTCGGTACCCCAGTAGTTGACTCCCAGTATCAGTTTGTAGATGCGAGTTGTCATACCTATTAACCAATCCTCATTTTCCGAACAGTAGCCGCCCTTCCAATGACTATCGTATACAGTCATTTTCAATGTCTTCAAATCCAAAGAACCCAAAAACCAATGAGCTTGTGGTATGTTGATTGGGATGTAAAGCTACAAAAAAGGTTAGAAATAATTAATTAATATATAGATACTCAGGTAATGTAATCTAAAAAAAATTATATTGTATCACACTCTGCCCAAGCTGGGTAAACGGATCCGTCATCCATGTCACTCCAGTCATATCTATCAATGTTGAAAGCTGACGACACCACCGTCCACCGAGCATCATCCGCTCTACGCTCTAGCAGCAATGAGATCCACATCATGATGTGCTGCCAATTAATGTTTTTGCAGTAAAGTAAGTATTATTATTATAAGCGTAGTATGTAATAATCAAATAATTATATTACTTACATCACATGACAACCATCCTTCATGACTATCCGCAGATAACTATGTCCAAAACTCAATCGTAGCAAAACCGGTCAAATAATTGTGAGCACACAATAGCGAACCATCATGTTCTTTATATACACTGTGTACGGTAGGATCTAGAAGATTGTCCAACGGTGTTGGTTGTTGCGGTGTAACACCTTTCCTCTTCATTTGTATCCATGAAGACTTGTACCATATGGACATAACTTTTTGGCGTTTAGAACGTCTAAGTTGTGCTTGCGCCGATGTTTTGTATTCATCCCGTGGAATCTCTTTTACATCCGACGATTGAATAACCGGAGGCGACTGCTCAGGGCCGACATTCAGCGGTTTTTCAGGTCCGACATTCAGCGGCTTTTCGGGGCTGCTTAAGACATAATCATGCTCCCATAACCCATTCTCATTGTAGTATCCTTGTACGGTTCAATAATATATACTTGTAAACGATGCAAAAACATAACAACCATAAACGATGAAATAATTAAAAATGTACCTCCATCCCCTTCGAGGTACCAACATCGTCTCCGGGAGTCTTATTGATAAGTTTTAGAACCATGGCTAAAGTAGCCTCTTGCTTTGCTAAACGCTCCTCCTGAGACCGCAACTTCTCGTGAAATTCACGGACCTCATTTTTCAATTGACCGACCTCGTTCTGCAAGTCACTAATAATTTGGTCATTATCAGTTGATGGATCAGCAGCCGACTGTGGTGATGGTGGCGGGTGAGATGGATCATCTATTTGTGCCTTCTTTTCTCGATGCTCATGGGTAGGGGAGTTTTTGGGTGATGGTGTTTGGAAAGGTGCCCTGTCAACTTCAGTGTCGGAAAAAATCAGGGCCATCAATCTACGCCGAGCTAACAAGCCACTATTCAACACGCGTCTCATTTTCTATCGGCTCCAACTTCGGTACGAGTCTATTGATGGGTTTTGAGCACTCTAACAACCTTAAGGTGCACATACAACCCTAAATGCTTTGGATCTATGTTTTCTCTAATTATACATGCAATTTGATTTTCCAAAGCATTATCCTAACTAGCATGCAAAACATGGGTACTTGTATAACAAAACTAGTTAGATGACATACCTTTCATTGTAGCTTGATTCCTTGGACCTTTAAGAGCCTAGCACCCCAAATGTGATGCCTCAAATGTTTCACACAACACCACCAACAATGGAGGACTTGAGAGAGAATTACTTGCACACAAAATCGGTTATGCTCTTCCAAATATCATCTAGGTGCCGATTTCATGTGCTAAGGGGCTTC